TATACACACATGAGCTGTTTTACTTTCTAGAAGATTTGTGTTTGTGTCAGCCCACTCCTGAAATATACACAGCTATGCCACTTAGCACAGCCCTGTCTGAGGGGCCAGGAGAACTGACTCCTTCTCTGCTGTAGTTCAGTAAGAGAGGAGACAGGTGAGAGGGGCGGAGCAGGGTGAAGGTCACAGACAGGAGACAGGTGAGAGGGGCAGAGCAGGGTGAAGGTCACAGACAGGAGACAGGTGAGAGGGGCGGAGCAGGGTGAAGGTCACAGACAGGAGACAGGTGAGAGGGGTGGAGCAGGGTGGAAGTCACAGACAGGTGAGAGGGGTGGAGCAGGGTGGAAGTCACAGACAGAAGACAGGTGAGAGGGGTGGAGCAAGGTGGAAGTCACCGACAAGAGACAGGTGAGAGGGGTGGAGCAAGGTGGAAGTCACAGACAGGAGACAGGTGAGAGGGGTGGAGCAAGGTGGAGGTCAGACAGGTGAGAGGGGTGGAGCAAGGTGGAAGTCACAGACAGGAGACAGGTGCCCAGATAGCAAGGATAACTTGCCACAAACTTGTGGCAGGGTGAAATTGTAATTTTGTTAACTTGCTGCACACGTTCCTGGCAGGTTGTAGACTTGCAGAACGCTCGCAGCACAAGTTCTAGGCGACACTTTTTGAATTTGTAGCAAATTTGCTTGGCAAGTCTACAGCAAGAGTCCTGCAGGTCTTAGCAAGAGCTCTGCAAGCTCGCTGGTCTGGAGACTTGCAATGCAGACTTGCTGTAATTGTGCAACAAAATTGTGAAGCTCGGCAAGTCTGCAAGAGTTTAGCGAGTCATTTTCAAACTTGCAGCACAATTGCTTGCTATCTGGGTGAGAGGGGTGGAGCAGGGTGAAGGCACAGACAGGTGAGGGGGCAGTGCTACAAAATGTGATCTCTGTGGCACGCCGTGCCAATCCAATAGCCTGGGTCTCTGCATTTCATGCCGTGCCCATCCAGTAGCCTTTGTCTCTGCATGGCACACCGTGAGCATTCTGCAGCCTGGGTCTCGGGGTGGCACACCGTGAGCATTCTGTAGCCTGGGTCTCTGCGTGGCACACCGTGAGCCTTCTGCAGCCTGGGTCTCTGGGTGGCCATCTTGTAGCCGGGGTCTCTGCGTGGCACACTGTGAGCATTCTGTAGCCTGGGTCTCTGGGTGGCCATTTTGTAGCCGGGGTCTCATCTAGGGTTGCCACCTTTTCTTCAAGTGAAACCCGAACACCCTAGTGCCGCAATTTTTTTTTTTAGAATATAGAGCAGAGAGCGAGGAGAGGCGGCCAGGAGAAGGAGTAAGGAGACCGATATATAGGAGCCCCCTATATGCGGGCTCTTAGATGGCTGTGTGGGGTCTCAGGTGGGCTATGCGGGGTCTCAGGTTGGATATGCGTGCTCTCAGATGGCTGTGTGGGGTCTCAGGTGGGCTATGGGGGCTCTTAGCTGGCTGTGTGGGGTCTCAGGTGAGATATGCGGGCTCTCAGATGGCTGTGTGGGGTCTCAGGTGAGCTATGCGGGCTCTTAGACGGCTGTGTGGGATCTCAGGTGGGCTATGCGGGCTCTTAGATGGCTGTGTGGGATCTCAGGTGGGCTATGCAGGCTCTTAGATGGCTGTGTGGGGATCTCAGGTGGGCTATGTGGGCTCTTAGATGGCTGTGTGGGATCTCAGGTGGGCTATGCAGGATCTTAGGTGGGCTATGCAGGCTCTTAGATGGCTGTGTGGGGATCTCAGGTGGGCTATGTGGGCTCTTAGATGGCTGTGTGGGATCTCAGGTGGGCTATTCAGGCTCTTAGGTGGGCTATGCGGGCCCTTAGATGGCTGTGTGGGGGTCTCAGGTGGGCAATGCAGGCTTTTAGGAGCGCTGTGCGAGAAGTGCGGTGGTCTCGCCTGGGGTCCTGAGACGGTCAACGTGCTGACAGGAAGGAGCTGGAGGAGATGTGCGGGCTGGTGTCCGTTTACAGGCACCCGCGGCTCACAGGCAGCTGCCTGTGTCAAACAATGTAAAGTTTCCCGGTATTGGCACTTAGTGTCTTGTGTCCGGGTGTCAGCTGACTTGAAACCTGGACACAAGACTCCGAAACTGGACTGTCCGGGTGAATCCTGGACAGGTGGCAACCCTAGTCTCATCCTCATATACAGTGTTGGCCATCAATCATTGCAATACATTTGACGTTTATGCTTCCTTTATTGACCAACTTAAAGTCCAGATATGACCCGAACTGACCTCTGAACCTCCCTCTCCCGCCTCTACATCATGTCCTATCCCATAATATTCACCTTGTTCCTGTAATAAAAATCAGCTTCAATTTCTCCCTGTGATGTCATCACCAGTCTTATAATATTCTTGCAGAAGCAGCGGCTGAGAAGTCAGTTCCTATTGACAAAGACACACACCCAGAACTACATCCGTCAATGCAGCAGAAAGGAGTCATGTGGAGAGGGACAGAGAGGGGTGGAGTTCTGTAGTTTCCTTGAGCAACCCTCAGTGGAGCAGAGGCGCTGTGCTGTCAGCACGGGCAGGAAGTCAGGAGCTCTCCGCTCATCGCAGTGACTTTTACAGATCAAATTTCCAACGTATTTTTATTTCTTTTTATTTAGGACGGGTATGAAAATTCCGGAAGAGTTGTGGCTTTCCTTACAGCCTTCTCTGCAACCATATCGCAGGTAAAGTGTCACCAAATCCGCACATTGTTACCAGCCCAGCGCGGGGCATCGTGTGTTTGTCTGTGTACAGCACCGCGGTATATGTCAGAGCTATATAAATGTGTGACTGTGGGGGAGGGGACATTAGAGTGTCAGCTCCTCTGTACAGAGACTGATGTGACTGTGGGGGGGGGGGGGGGCATTAGAGTGTGAGCTCCTCACAACAGCGACTGTATGGGGTT